AAGCTTTATCAAAGATTAAAGAGAATTACAAAGAAGTTCAAGTGAAGTTGCATGCATCACATCTAGGCCTGAGAATGATTTATTTAGTTGAAGGTATTGCTCTGTTTCGAAAATCAAGGGATTTATCAATCAAGGATTACTTGATCGATTCCTTGATTTATTTGAAATTGATTTGCTGAATTATGTCCATATTAGATATGTGCATGATTAAATCAATTCTTTTCTTTGTTGAGCGATTTGTTGGAAATGCCATCCTTGAATCTTAGCTTGATCTATCAATTATGATCTTCAATCCTTCCTAGATTTTTAGGAATATCTTCTTTCCTTCTTTAATTGCTGTCCAGCAGGGTTTCTGAATCTCTTTATTATTTGCATGATAATCAGCCAACTTTATGTATTGCTCTATTTAAGAAACACAAGGGATTTATTAGTCAAAATACAATAAGTTAACACTTATTGCCGTAAAAAGTTGCTTACTCTATTATTTCATGACTCATGATTGTAAGGATGAGGTGTTGGATTAATATATAGATGTTTAGTCTTCCAAAATTGTCTCTTAGTCTTTCAAGAAGTCTTTTTAGAATTTCGTAGTACATGTATCTAGTAATTTGGGATATATGTATTTAGTTATTTGTGCAAGACTTTTTATTTTCTATTTTGAGTAGTATAAATAGTGATGTAGTTGATGATTGTAATCATCTCAAGTGTCTTTAAGTAGCCTATAATAAACTTGAGTATTCTCTAAGGATATTATTTTCCTTCCATTTTCCTACAAATTGGTATCAAGAGCAGGTTTTCGTTCTTAATCTGGGTTAGGTGAAGAAAAAAATATGGCATCCAAAACAAATGAAGGTGCTGATTCTTCAGTTGTTCTTACTCCATTTTTTGATAGAACTGATTTTGAATACTGGAAGATAAGAATGAGAACACATTTGAAAGCTGAAGGTTTGTGGACTATTGTTGCAAATGGCTTTGAACAGCCAGAGAAACGATGGTGATCTTACAGCAGGAACAATGATAAATCTTGAGGCTAAGTTTCGTCAAGATGCAAAAGCCTTGAGCAAAATTCAAATGGGAGTCTCAAGAGCATATTTTGCAAAAATTGCTACTTGTGAGACAGCAAAGGAAGCTTGGGATTTTTTGGAAACTGAGGTGTATGGTGACGAATAGGTACGCTCTATAAATCTTCAAACTCTTAGAAGAGAGTTTCAAAATTTAAAGATGATAGAATCTGAAAAAATTGGTGAATATTGCACAAGAGTCATGGATATTGTTAATGAAATGAGAAATTATAGTGATACAATTTTTGACCAACATGTTGTGGAAAAGATTCTAATTAGTGTCACAGAAAAGTATGAGTACATCGTTGCTATCACCGAGGAGACGAAAGATCTTTCTAAGCTTTCCATCAAAGAGCTAGTTGGATCATTTCGTGCACACGAGAAGCGAAGATTTTTTCGTGAAGATCAATCCAAAGAGACGACTTTCCAGTCTAAAATAAATTAGAATTCTCAAAATTTCTCAAAAAATCATCAGAAGAAAAATCAAAAGCCAAAAAAGAAGCAGAATCATGATGGTTCTTCCAAGAAGGTTGATGAAAAAGGTGAGAAAAACTCTAGTCTTTTTTGTAAAGTTTGCAAAAAGACTAATCACAATGCAGAAAAATGTTAGCACACAGGCAAACCCCAATGTAACTTTTGTAAAATGTTTGACCACGTTGAAAAGGAGTGTTGGCACAAGAAACGGGAGCAAGCAAATTTTTGTGAAAAATATGAGGAAGAAAGGGAAGAAAATCTTTTCTTTGCTTCTAAATCTGATGCTTCAACAAAAAGCAATGAATGGTATGTTGATGGTGGTTGTAGTAATCACATGACTGGAGATGAAAAGGCTTTCCTCTCAGTTAATAAAAGCATTACTACTAAAGTGAAAATGGGGAATGGAAACTTATTTGATGCGAAAGGTAAAGGTACTATTTCGATCAACATAAAAGGATGCGGTAAGCGAATTCATGATGTTCTTTATGTTACTGACGTGGAAGAAAATTTGCTTAGTGTTGGTCAACTCATGGAAAATGGTTATTCTCTTGTGTTTAGAGATAATTATTGCAAGATTTATGATAAAAATGAGACAAATCAAGACATTGTAGAAGTAAAGATGATAAAACAAAACTTTCATTTTTTAATTTCATTACAATGTATTAAAAAATCAAAATTGTAAATGATTCATGGCTTTGGCAGAAAAGATTTTGTCACTTGAATTTTCATGGTTTAAAGCTTCTCAAGCCAAAAGGACATGGTGCAAGGCCTTCCTAAGATACATACTGAGGTGGATACATGTGAAAGTTGTATAATGGAGAAGCAACACAGGAAGTCTTTTCCAAAAGGGGTGTCTTGGAGAGCAAGTGTATTTTTGGAACTAATTTATACCGACATTTGTGAACCAATAAAGACTCTATCTCTTGAAAGTCAAAGGTATTTTCTAATCTTTATTGATGATTTCTCAAGAATGCTTGGGTTTATTCCTTGAAAGAAAAGTTAGAAGCATTTGCAACATTCAAGAAATTTAAAGCCCTTGTTGAGAAGCAAATATGTTGCAGCATCAAAATCATTCAAAGTGATCGAGGAGGTGAGTACACAAGCCGAGAATTTGAAGAATATTGCAAAAATGAAGGAATTCAGAAGCAACTTACAACAGGGTATACTCCTCAACAAAATGGTGTATCTGAAAGAAGAAATAGAACTATCGTTGAAATGTCCAGAACAATGATAAATGAGAAAGGGTTGCGAAAATATTTTTGGGCAGAAGTAGTACATACAGCAGTTCACATCCTTAACAGATGTCCAACAAAGGCACTAAAGGACGAGACACCAGTTGAAGCTTGGAGTGGAATTAAACCTTCTGTAAGTCATTTTAAAATTTTTGGGTTTATTTGTTATGCTCATGTACCTACTGAGAAAAAAACAAAATTGGATGAAAAAGGTCAAAAGTGTGTCTTTCGTGGTTATAGTGATGTTACAAAAGAATATAGGCTTCTCGATGTCAAAACTAACAAACTTGTTGTTAGTAGAGATGTCAATTTTGATGAAAAAACAACATGGAATTCGGAGGATAAAAAGATAAAGAATATTGCTATCATATCTTCAGATCAAGAAGAGGACGAGAAAGATGAAAATGTCTCTCAAGGGGGAGAAATCCCAGATTTAGATAATGAAGAACCGCTTGAGTGACATTTATCAAAGATGTAATTTTGCTGGTGTTGAGCCCGAAAATTATGAAGAAGCAATAAAGCATGAATTTTGGAAGAAAGCCATGGAAGAAGAAATTGTAATGATCAAAAAAAATAATACTTAGAAGCTTGTGGCTAGTCCTAGAGAAAGAGAAGTTGTAAGTCTAAAATGGATTTACAAAATCAAACTCAATCAGGAAGGAGATATTTAAAATTACAAAGCAAGGGTTGTTGCTAGAGGCTTCACGCAAAAACCATGTATTGATTTTTATGAAACTTTCTCTCCAGTTGCTCGTCTTGAGACAATTAGAACTGTAATTGTTGCTACTGCACAAAAGAAATGGAAGATATTTCAACTGGATGTTAAATCAGCATTTCTGAATGGAAAACTTGATGAGGATATTTATGTTGAGCAACCTCAAGGATTTTTTGTTCAAGCGGGAGAAGAAAAGATGTATATGCTAAAAAAAAGCTCTTTACGGGCTGTAGCAAGCTCCAAGAGCCTGGTACAATAAAACTGATACATACTTTCTGAAAAATAATTTTCAGAGAATTAAAAGTGAAGTCATTTTGTATGTGAAGAAAGAACATGGCAGCATTATCACTGTTTGTCTCTATGTGGATGATTTGCTCTTTACAGGAAATGATGTAAAAATGATGCAAAATGTCAATCAAGATATGATACAAGCTTATGAAATGAGTGATCTTGGATTGCTAAATTATTTCTTGGGCATCGGAGTTTCTTAAGAAAATGAAGAAATTTTTATTTCTCAAAAGAAGTATACTAAAAGTATTCTTCAAAAATTCAAAATGATGGATTGCAAGTCTGTGACTATACCATTAGCAGCAAATGAGATGTTTAGAAAAGATGATGGAGAAAAGAAAGTTAATAGCTCACTTTTTAGGAGTTTGATTGGAAGTTTGCGATATCTTACTTCAACAATGCCAGATATTATGTTTGCTGCTAGTTTATTATCCAGATTCATGCAAGAACCAAGCCAAGTGCATTTTGGAGATGCAAAGCGTGTTCTAGGCTACTTGCAAGGAACAATGGATTATGGAATAATATACAAATTTTGTGAAATTTGAACTTGATTGGTTATTCTGATAGTGATTGGGCTGGAAGTATAGATGACATGAAGAGTACTTCTGATTATGTTTTCTTATTTGGATCAAGAATTTATTCTTGGTTATCAAAAAAGCAAAGTGTTGTTGCTCAATCCACTGCCAAAACAGAATATGTTTCAGCATCGAAGGCTACTTCTCAAGCTATTTGGCTTAGGAGAATATTTGAAGACATTGGTGAAAAACAAAAAAAGGGACTATTCTGTATTGTGATAACAAATAAGCAATTGCAATTGCCAAGAATCCAGTCAGCCATGAAAGATCAAAGCATATTTCCATCAAGTATCATTTTATCCGAGAAGCACAAGAGAAAGACGGTATTCAGTTGCATTGTTGTCAGACAGGAAAACAACTTGCTGACATCTTCACCAAAGCAATTTCTAGAGAAAATTTTTTCTATCTTCGAGAACGCATTGGAGTTATCAAGCAAATGCATTGAGGGGGAGTGTTGGAATTAATGCATCTATGTTTAGTCTTCCAAAATTGTCTCTTAGTTTTTCAAGAAGTCTTTTTAGAATTTTGTAGTACATGTATCTAGTAAATTGTGATACATGTATTTAGTTATTTGTGCAAGACTTTTTGTTTGCTATTTTGAGTAGTATAAATAGTGATTAGTTGATGATTCTAATCATCTCAACTAACCTTAAGTAGCCTATAATAAGCTTGAATATTTTCTAAGGATATTATTTTCCTTCCATATTTCCTACATGAGGATGGTTCCTTTTCTCTCCAGTTATCCTTTCCTCTGTATCTTCCTGTTGAGCTCCTTTTCATTATTACAGTTACTGGTTTAACAGTGAACAAGTTCGTACTTAGGTACAAGTGGTGGAAAAACAACATGGTTGGTAAGATAGATTCATCAAAATTTGTGTGCATTAGATACGTAAAGAAGTGTTGAATTGTTCCATACCGGTGGGTGGTAAGTAATTTGTTTTGTTTCAAGTTTTATTGTTTATTATGATATCCGAATCAAACACTCTCCATTTTGGGAATTTGACATGATTTTTCACATTTCTGTTTTTAAGTATCGCAATGCAAAAATATGAACCTTCTTCTTTCCCCTCCTCCATTTCATCATTTTATCGTGGTAATTTGCAAATTCTAACTGTTATATACTACAGCTAATAGGAGTAACAGTGTTCATTGCAGATCTAGCTCTTCATAACCACTTTAGTACAACTCGTGATGCATGAAATATGAAGCTTCTCTTACTGTTTTCCATCTTTTTTTCACAATCTCTTTGGTTTAACATTTACCCTTCTGCTTGTACAACAGAACAACACAAAAAGTTTTTCCCTTTTATTCATCATATAATATAAGCTGTAAAATGGCAGACAGCACAACAGGTAAAAATTGAAAAGGAAACAAATAATTAAAATGGTACTTCTAATACTGTATTTCAAGTAGTTGTTAGCATGATATGTAATTGGAACACGTTCTTGCTAATGGTAAAAACAACTGAGTTGAATCTGGGATTGTTCTTATTTAACCAAAGGGGCCCTTTCTTCGAGACACTTACTATATAGATAGTTACAAGGCCATAGAATTGTGTGGAGAGAGAACTTTTATGGTATTTCTCTTTTTGTCTAGAGAAGATGAAACAGTAATAGATACGACATAAGCTTCTTCCTCAATAATGGTGTCCTAATTTTTTTTTTGGTGGCGGAGACTTCACCACAATGGTAAATTTTGGGGGAGCAACTTCTGTTGAGAACCTCATTATAGGAGCCTTAGCCATGTGTTTTGTTAGAGCTTTTTGTCCAAGAACTAGAAAGACATATATAGATGGCTTAACTTGAAGGTGAGAAAGAGGAGAAATAAATAAGCAGAGAAGAGAAATCCCAAGTGTGGTGTATTTATAAAAAAATACATCTCCTAGTATAGTGTTACTTGGTCGACGGAGTTATCTGGTGCTTGTTGTTGTCTTGCTTGCTGATGGAGCTGACATGTATCATGTGAAATTAATTGGATGACGTTGTTGCTTAGATTCCTATCATCAACTTGTACCTAGCCGCGGGCCACCCTTCCTTTGTGTATAGATGTCTACTTCAGTATGAAATAGACAAAGGTAATGAAGGCCTATTAATTAGTTGTCATACCTACCCCTTTTGAATGTCTTGATTCAAAAAATCGTTTCGAAAAGATTTTTCTCATGCCCCTCCAAATTTGGTAAATTTCTCATTGCATAAAGAAATTGTTATACCTCCTTATAGGGATCGTTTTACCTCCTTTAAAGAGTGCACCCAATGCAAATTTGAATTAATTTGTGTTCGGTCTTCCAATTGCCCATGCTCTTTACTTCCACCCCTTCAAAGGTAATTTCATTTTATTCTAGAGGCCAAGAGCTAATCTTATACCAACTCGTATTAAAATAAGTGTCACTTTAGAAATTTATGACAAAAGTTTTTTTCTTTCTCTACCAAGGGAGGAATTGTGCTAAATCTTGTATATACCTATTGAAAAATTCACTATATATGTATGAATGTTTAGTTCTAAATTTAGTTTTTTATTATAGTATTAAACATTTAAATTATGAAACCGCTTGAATGCAAATGAATTAAGACCAATGTAACATGATTGAGATGCATTGGCGTAGTGGCGGAGCCACATAAACTTGAGGGATGTCGATCTGTACTCCTTCGATAAAATAATACATTATGTAGTAACATAAAAAAAATCATTTTTAATGTATATATCACCTATTAACATTTCTTGACTTGTATACAATTTGACTTTTTTATATTTCGATATTGCTTAGTTGTAATTTTGACTCTGTCACCCATAATTGGCATATTCTTGGATTTGTACTATAGAACAATATTTGATTCTTCTGCCATATTCACTTTCTGTGGACCACTATATAATATTGGTGTACAAGTGGGGAAGAATGAGTTTGTTGAAAGAATGCATCAAAATATGTGCACTTAATAGTTGATACGTAAAGAAAGTATTGAATTGTGCCATATTGGTTGGGTGGGAAGAAATTTGTTTTGTTTTATACGATCCTCACGTTTTTCACTAATTTTTATCGTTAAGTTAGATTTAAGATTTATGGTATTATTATGATATTTGAATCAAAACACTTTATTTCTATTTAATGTTAAATTGTATCACTTTAATTGATCAATGTAGGTGGCGTTGAATTGTCCTACATGGATGAGTAGGAGCCCGGAGGAAATTTTTCTTCTTCTATGATTTTGAAGAATTCACATCTCCGAGTGTGGGTGGTATTAAATTGTCCAACATGGATGAGTATGAGGAAATTTATCTTCTTATATGATTTGAAGAATCCATATTTCATAAGTTATAAGCGAATTTTATTAACCGAATTTTATTAGGCTCAAGATCTATTTCTTCAGCGAGAAAGATTGCACTCATGTAGTGTACTGGCCAAATTTTAAGTGTGCTGACCAATATGAGTTATGTTAAATAGATATGTACTTATTTTTTTTTAACAAAAGGTCTTGAGTTCAAGTTTCTTTGTGTATGTAGTTGCATTTCTCAAGAAGTATTTCTTCGATATTGAACTTTCTAATATTAATTAAAATTTAATCAGACTTCAATATACATAACAGACACGAGATCAGAAAAAAAATGAAAGAAACATGTACTAATTGTGGAACTTTCTGTTCTTGGAAAAGTATTATATATGAAAAATTATTAAGTACTCTCTTTGTAACTAATTATTTGACCACTTATTTTTTAGTTAATTCTAATTTTATTCATTTTAATATATCATGAAAGAACAAAATAGTTTTTACTTATTATACTCTCAGTTAATTATTTAGAAAAATATTGAAGTTTTTCAAAATTTTAAACTTTTAATTTATTAATTTTATAATTAATATGGATAAAGTAGTGAGTTAATATATTAATTTTTTTAAATAGGTATATATCAATTCAAAAATAAATAAATAATTAGAGAAGGAGGGATTATAAATTTATAAAAGATCTTTGGCTCTTACATTCCCAGAGAGTCGGTGCCGTGCGCAGACCCTGTTTAGGCTGGGACCTGGTTCATTATCTATACAGCTTCGTGAAATATTTATGTATTTTATTTTTTAAAAATTGGTTTACGGAAGAATATTAGTTTTAATATCTAATTACCACTAACTTGTAATATCTCAAATAGAATATTTAAGATAATAGAATTTAAAAATATCTTACTATATTATATAAAAATTATATTCATCGTTAATTTATAGTTATAAAATTTTAAAAAATTTCTTATTCCTTTTTATATTTTGAGTTAGTCAAATCAGCAAAGGACGCCAGTTATCATGCAAGGACTATGGTCTACTTGTTTGGTCTAAATTGTTCGGTAGCTAGAGTTTTACAGTTACTAGTAAAGTAAAAACTAATTATTTTATGTAACTTTGAGTTATTTAAGTTTTTAGATGTTTATGTACTTAGTTGTTTACATTTCTATTCTATATAAGATAATTTTTAAAAATCTTATTACATATACATATATTATTTATATGCAAATTTCTGAATAACGAAACAAACTTTATATTAATTTATATATTATCAACTTAATTTCTAATTAACGACCAAATATGATATTATTTTTATAAAATTTTATATCGATATAACTTTGTCTCCAAACTTGGTGCCAAACAGGAGAAGGCAGCAGTACAACCAGAACCATTAATTGTCAAGTGGACTACAATTTGAACACTTTAGGATCAGAATTCTTATTACGTGGAGGATACAATTACTATCAGTTGTCTGTAGTTCATTTGGCCATCACATGTTAATAGAATCCACGTTTTACTTTTATTTAACTTCCCTTTCTCATTCATTTTAACCTTTTTTTTGCCTCCCAACTCTTTTATGCCTTTTCTATTTGTTATTAATATTTAACATAATTTTATTTATATACTGCATTAAAATTAGAATAATTTAAATTTAAAATTATGTAGAATTTTATTTGAAAAGATATGCAATTTATCAAGAATTTTTCATATTCAAAATTTAAACTCGAGATTTCAAATTAAGTAAGAAATAATATCATCCTCTACTGTTAAAAGAAGTGAAGATGAGTTAGTTAGTGGCAGCAACTAACTATTAGAAAGTTAGTTAGAAGTTGAAGTTAGTTGGTAGTTAGTTAGGCCTATTATTGTAATTTCAAGTTAGTAGGTTGTTACATCGATTAATGTGTAGAGTTAGTTAGTTAGTTTGTATTTTTTTGTTTGCATTATCTGATTGCTATATAAGCAATACAGATCACGTGTAGAGAATTAATTCAACAATTTTACTCTTTCATTTTTCTTCCTCTTTTTTGGTAAAAGCTTCAAGCCTCATCAATAGAGTAAGGCTTGGAAGCTACTGTTTTTGTTCATGGTATCAGAGCAGTGTAATCTGTATCATTAGAGGAGTTTAAATCTCTGTCAATTTGTGATAATCTGTAGCTTAAGATCTACAGATATGGTAGGAGTGAAGATCGATCAGAATGATCCATTATTCATTGGAAATTCTGATAGTTCTAGTGCTGTGTTAGTTCCAATCAAGTTGGTTGGATCTGAGAACTATGGAATCTGGAGTAGAGCAATGAGAATTGCATTATTGGGGAAGAGGAAGTATGGTTTCGTAACTGGCACTTGCACAAAAGATATGTACAAAGATGAATTGCATAAGCAATGGGAAACTTGCAATGCTATTGTGCTGTCTTGGCTGATGAACACAGTCAGTGAAAAGCTACTTAGTGGCATTGTGTATGCCACAAATTCTTTCTCAATATGGAATGATCTAAAGGAAAGATTCGACAAGGTGAATAGAGTAAGGATCTATCAATTACATAGAGATATCACCACTCTCTCACAAGGTACAGATTCTGTATCTCATTACTTCTCAAAGTTGAAAACACTATGGAATGAGTATGATGCTATAGTTCCAAATCCATGTAATTCATGTTCTCAGTCGAAGGAGTATAATAATCATTTGGAACAGATGAGATTGATTCAATTCTTAAGTGGCCTAAATGAATCATATGATCAGGCTAGGAGATAAATACTACTCAAAGGAACTACACCTTCTATGAATCAAGCTTATGCTATGATTATAGAAGATGAGATTCAGCACTCAAGTTATATGGATAATGTAGTTGAGAAACCAAGTTCTATGGTAATGAGTGTTAACAGGAATCAAGGAACTGGAAAGGAACATTACAATGGAAACAAATGTGATTACTGCCATTTCTCAGGTCACACAAAGGATAATTGCTACAAGTTGATTGGTTATCCAAGTGACTGGAAACAAAGGAAGAAACCAGGTTTTGGAAATGGGAATGGAAACACAAGAAATGGTACAGGCACAAGTCAATTCAATGGATATGGGGGACAAAGTTCAGGAAATAATGGTGGATATGGAAAAGGATTTCAAGCTGCAAACAACATCTCTAATGATCA